AGGAGTAATCTCACATGGTACAAGTAATTTTAAACAAATTAACTGTAAAAGATTCTAGATCCTTAGGGGTTGAAAGTATGACTTTTAGTTGTAATTTCTTACGAAAAGTGCGTGTAGAGTATTGGAGCCTAACGAGTCTCAAATAGCTTACCCAATGTATTAAATTGTTAACAATACAAGAGCGATGATGTTTTATATTGAGTTTAGGCTTTATTGAGTCAACCAAAATGCATATCAACTATAAATAAGCTTAGATTTAGGTATAGAAAATTTATTTTATTTTATTTTATCATTGAAAGCTTATTCAAAATATGAAATTTACAATAACATTATCAAATTGGTAGATGTATTAGCACTACATCAAAAAAGACATTTCAAAATGATTTCGTGTTCTTTTGGAGAATGGTTCATAACCACTCTCCAAATACCCCTTAATAACCACGAAGTTCAAATTTAAAATGTTTTCCTTCATGAGTTTATTTTTATTTTGTGAATGAAAATTGATTCTTTGTAATATTGAAACTCGAGTTTGTATAGTGCATTAACCAAATAAGACTCATTCAAATGAGTGGAACAACATCGTTATCTAATAAAAAAAAAAAAAAGAGATCAAAGTAATGAGATATTTTACTATGAAGAAAGAGAGAAGTGAGAAAGGTACCTTAGGTTATGCATGGGTCAACCTTATTAGCCATGGAAGATGAAAGTAATGACAAGAAGGATAAAGAAAAGAATATTCATGATACTACGAGTTAAGTGATGCCTCCTCTCCCTCATATGTGTTTATAAGTTAAATTTTTTTAAAATATTTTAAATTTTATTGTACAAGAGCAATTAATACATAACATTTATTTAAAGATAACTTTAGAAAATAATTATGCATAAAATCATCTTGCAAGTAAAATTTAAAGAACAATTATGCTATTTCACTTTGCAAGTAATTGTTATAAAATGTTTAAAACAATATAGTGCGATTTATAAGAATATTTTTAAAGTAAAACCTATAAAAAAAGTTAAAATACTTTAATTTTGTGAGACTAGTTGCCTAGTTGTTTTATTATGTACATACATGTGTGTTTGATTGTTAATATAGATAAGCTCACTTTAAAGAATCTAATACTTGGTTAAACATATTTTAATTCAAATGACTTTTAGCTTTTAAAAAGTTTAAAATATCTTGTTTATCGTATTAAAAATATGATATTTTAGTTAGTTATAAATCATGCTAACGAAGACAAAGTTTGTAAACAAAAATTAATTTTAACGTGGTAAATTGAAATCTGCATATCTTTTAATATGATGATTTTATACAAAATAATTCTTTTAGTATTTTTAAACTCAAATCACGTGTTCTATAATATAAAATTCTTAATTCAATTTATATTTATGATTTGTATATAAAAAATTACAATATACAGTAAAAAACAACAATAACAATAACAATAACAACAATAATAATAATTAAAAAAAACAAAATTATATTATATTATTCCACGTGTAACCTTTTAAGGTGTATATGCAATGGTTGATTTGTTGATATTTTGGATCTTTTCCCAATTATCATGAGAAATTAAAGCTTTTTTTATTTTATTATAGTAAAGAATATGAAAATAAATGTTAAGATAAAATATTATGAGTGAATGGTATGGATTTTTACATGTATATTTCACTAGTTGTTACGAGATTAACTTTTTCTTTTAGATATTTTTATATCATATTGAATTAAATAAAATAAAATAAAAAATAATCAAATTTAGTTAATTTTTTAAAAGCATATTATAAATAATAATTTTATCTTCATTTATTGTCATTGAACTTAAACATATTATTAATAATAATTTTATTTTCAATTAATGTCATTAAACTTAAACATATTATTAATATTTATTTTATTGATTTTAATATAAATTTCTACTAACTCTGTTTATTAAGATAAAATTAATAAATACTATATAAAAATTATAAAATATCTTATAGTAAGGAATATTATAATTTTTTAAAAATGTCTTGTAGTTGCAAATATGAAAAATTGAGTCTCTAAAATTTCACAAAATAGGTGAGACTTGATATTACTGATGTTATCAAGATCTTATTTTATTAAAGTAAAACGAAGAAATTTGAAGAATATTATATTATTAAATTATTTTTATAAAGATTTTACTCATTTTATTAAATTGTATAGATTTTTATTGAATTTTTCAACTTATGTTTTTTAATTTAAATCCCAATAAAAATAGATGTATTAAATGTTTGAAGAAAATTTTTTATCCCTCATATCAAATCTACTTACTTGATCAATTTCAGATTTACTAACTTGAACAAAATTGCTCTAAGCGGAGAATATTTACAATCTAAAAAATCATGTATTTTAAATAATTATAAACTTTAATATTAATAATTTTAAAATTATTATTCATAAGTTATTTTTTAATTTTGAAAATTCAAATATAAATAAAAAAACTGAGAATCTCATATATATATATATATTGATTTTTCTAATATATTATAGACGTTAAATACATTTATATTAATAAAATAATTTTTGTTTAGCGAAGGAGTTGGATCACATATTTTTAATTAATGGCGCAGGCTCGTACGACATCCATCATACTGTTACGCCTCTTCCACTTACACAATTGACATGACAAAATCAACTTCAACTCAGAATAATTGTTTAGCTATAATTTATTATAATTAGTTTGCAAAAGAAAAATATTATGACCAAAGAAAGAGCCTTCAAAGTGATTTAGATTGGAAAATGTTACATGCATCTGCAGTTAGATTCATAGAACATTTAACCATGCTCACTCTCACCCTCATTCTCCAATGTGACAATTATTTTTATTTGACTCTTTATATATGCACTAAATTATCTTAACCATAACAATGATTAGCCTTCTAATCCTACCATCATTTACACATCATTGGATTGGTTGCCTCATTTTCAAAACGATACTTATGCTTCTAACTTTCTTTAGGGAAAGGGGAAAACGAAATAAAACTCTGAAAAATATTAACAAATATTCTGTGTATTAATGAAAATTTTAAATTTCTTTTAATAAAATTCATACTAACGTTTTTATTTATTTATAATTTTTAATATAATATTTTTTAGTTAATTAATTAATGTTAGACACTAATTAATGAAATATTAAATCTATACATATATATATATATATATATATATTATAATTACATATTTAGTGACAATATAAATATTTTAATTATAATTTTTAATATTTTTTTTATTATCAATGGGACTTTAGCTCTAAACCAAAATAACTACCTAATCAGCTTTAAAAACTGACATCAAATAGCATAATCACTTAGACTTTGTTTGACAATTTAGAAGAAAAAAAAAGTTTAAAAGGTAAGGAAGAAAAATAAAAAGGGAGAAGAATAAGAGTTAATACAAAATCTTTTAAAATAAAAAAATTTAAAATATGAAATTAAAAGAGTTTTAGATTATTTATAAACTCTCTCTCTCATCTAAAAACTTTTAAATTCTTTTTTCCTCTCTCCAAAAATCAACTATCAATCAAAGCCTTAAAAAATTGCAAATGAGACTATATGAAATTTTCATATAAAATTTTTTATCTTTAGATTGATTCCAGCAAATAGAATCCACTCCAGCATCCACTTTAAGAGGAATATTATTTGATATCCTTTAAAAAATATTAGAGAAACATAAGATTTGATTTAAGATTAATTCCATTCCCCATTTTCAGCAAAACCAAGCAATGGAGATATCCGTCTTGTCATTGGAAATTTGAAAATCTACCTGATCGGCAACCCTTTTAATTCCAAAACTCCAACTATCAGTCCATAATTCAATTTTAAAACCATCCCAATATTTAATGATGAACCTTATTAATTAAGGAGCAAGTCTTACTTATACCTCTCCATTTATTTGAGACTTGCTGATTTCTGAGTCTACTTCTAATTAATTTTTTTTTTAAATTTAAGATCATTTTACTATCCAAATAATAATAATATTTTTTTTGTTATCATAATATTGTTTTAATATATTATACTATATGTATTTTAGGTATAATATTCAAATAAAATTAATTGTTTTATTTATACATTTTAAAATTATTATGCAAAAGGACATTAACATGATGGAAGGGGCCTTCTAAGCGATTCAGAGTGAAAAATGCACTGTGCTTCTGTACTTAGATTCCTAGAACACTTGGTCATCCATCCACTTTCGGACTCATTTGCAAATCATTTTAGTTTGACTCTTTATTGTGCGCATTAACTAAGCTTAATGGTAAAAATGATTAGACTTTTAATCCTGCCATCATCTTCACATCATTAGCTAGGTTGGCCCAATTTTCATAGGCACTTATGCTTCGAAATTTTTTAAGACATGAGTGTTAAGCAAATAATGGAACAAAACTATTAGTTAGTTCTTATTTAATTAGAAATGTGTGTTTCCCAGTCACCAATACCTTCTGAAAAAAGTTATTATGATAATTGTCTTATGCAAATTATGCAGGTAAATGTGAAACAAACTTTTGGTTTCAAAGGCTTAATAATGATGAACAGTTGAGCTACTGAGCTTTAACGTCTGGTCGCAATCCTTGACCTATCTTGCAGATTAAAATGCATATGTTCTTATCCTTGTTTCTCTTATCTTGTAGCTTATCCCTTGTTTTCAGGCACTAAAATATTTATTCCAAAGTATAACTTAGGAGTTGATGATTCATAAAATTGCCAAAATTAAAATGTTCAATTGTATTATTTTTATCTCTCTAATTTATATTATGTAAGATTTTGTTCTATTATTTTTAAGTCACAATTAGGTTCTTTTAATTTTAAACTTTAGAAAATTGTCTTTTTCAATTTTCTTCTATCTAAAACTTACAATTTTTTATATTTTCTTCAACTTTCTTACAAATTTAATCAATTAAATTGTCTTCTATCTAAACAGGTTAAATAAGAGGGGTCAAAATTACACACAATCCAAACTGAAGCAATCAAGATTGAGTAAATAAATAAAAGTCTTGACATATCCAACTCAGAAATTTTATCAAAATTTTCATTACATGAGTTCCATCAGAAGCACAATATTCTAGTATTATTCCTCGGCTGAATTGGGACAAAACTCTTCCAAGTTCTCTTGCTATGTATACAGTAACTAGCCACAACTTAGCTCTACCTCACTCTCTGAAGTGCTAAGTAAGCAACTAGTCGATAACCCACCAACATAAGGGCCATAATAAACACATCAACCCACAAATCATTCAAACCCACTGATTTGATAGGAGGAAAATCACTAACCTTGCACAACACCCCCTTTGAGCACTCATAATGATCATCATCATTGTATTGCACACCGAGGAGAATCTTGTAACAATAGTAGCTATAGCTCAAGTACTTGAGCCACTCTATGAAAGGAGGAATCTGTTGTATATAGTATCCTCCAGCAATGAGAAACACAAGTGTTGTCACAGAAGCTAAAGTAGTGGCTTGTTTAACCTCCATCAAAATAGCACCAAATGCTAAGCCAAGACTTTGAGACACGAGGACACTGTAAAGGACCACAAGAAGGGAAAGGATAAAGGTCATTGGATGAGGGTTAAGCCCTCCCATCCAATATATTATGAACACAAATGCTGTTGGAAGTGCAAGCTCTAGTGGCAAGTCTCCTATTGTTCTGGCTAGAAAGTATGAAGAAAGACGGTACATTCCTGATGAACGTTCCTTTATCAGCATTCTTCTCTCTTGTGGAAATGTGAAAACAGCATTGTAGAGAGGGTAGAATCCCCAGAAAACAGAGAAGAAAAACAGCAGGGCTATCTGCATTACATATACAATTTCATGTGAGAACCTCCTATGCTTCTGAATAAATAAAGGATCTTTTCAACCGGTGAAAATTACGTTTGAATTGTATTAAAAATTACGATACTTGAATATTAATAATATTTTTAATTTCTTAATCAATATCCACTTGTCATAAATAAAAATATGTTAAAATAAAATAACAAAATCATATTTTAGATATCTGTGGGCAGAAACATTTTTTTGGTGGTAGAGGACAGAAATTTGAAATGATGTGATAAAGACGTGGGTACATGATTACATGAATGTGAAAAGGGGAAAGAATACAGTCAAACCAATGGCCAATAATATTTTAACAGAACTTCTGAGTTAGGTGATGATGTTCTTGGTATTCAATAATTATAAACATAAGATGGTGAACATGAAGAAATTCTTACCCGATCTCCGATGTGTGATTTTGGGGTGTGCCACCACAGGAGTCCACCAAGAAAAGCGACACTTATGACTTGGAATATTCTCAGCCTGTTGAACGCTTCAAACCTTCGCTCCCTTAGACCCCTTTGCAATAGCACTTTGAACTGATGCCACCAACTTGTGCACCATTGCTCCGGTTTCATGTGATTTCCTGCATCAATTTAGCATCAAATGTTCTCATACTTGCTCATTCAAAACAGTAACTTTTGAAGCATATGCCTATGAATGTTTATCTTTTTTTCACAACAAAATTAGAACACCTACTTGTGGGATCTTTGGTGATATTGTAGGTGTTCACCTCCAAGCTACTTAGCTCAGCTTTCAGCCTTGTAGCTATGTTCTTGTCATAAGCAGAGATTAAAACTTCTCTCACCAACTTCTTTTCTGTTTCCTGGCTCTCACTTTGTTCAGTTGCATGTTTAGAATCCGGAGCAATCCCTGAAGTTTTCATCATAGTCAAGATTTCTTCCTTTCGGAAAATGAACATGACAGAAGACATACTGATATGGTTGTTTAAACTAGCTTAATGACTAAATTTTGATAACTCAAAGTGGGGTCTAATTATAATTCATCCGAGTAAAAGAACATCTAGAGATCTAATTCTAATAGGCCAGACCGCTACTCCATAACATGTAAAAATTAAAATAAAACAAAATATAATCAATAATAAATAGAAAAAAGAGTGTACGTGGCTTAAATTGAAAAAAAAAAAAATTACCATTGGCAAGATCAAGCAATAAATCAGCTGGATTGACAATCATGGGTGTGGAAAAACCAACAGAAGAAAAGTAGTCCATTGCAGTAGAAGCAGGGCCATAGTAGATGGGACACCCTTCAGAGAGCAAGACAACCTTATCAAACATGTGGTAGAGGCGACTCGAAGGTTGGTGAATGGTGGTGACAACAGTTCTGCCACCACTGGCCAAGCGTTTGATTGTGTTCATGATCCTCTGTGCTGTTGTAGAGTCCAAACCTGAAGTGGGCTCATCCAACAGCAACAGGCTTGGATTGATGAGCATTTCCTGGCCTATACTTACCCTCTTTTTCTCACCCCCTGATATCCCTCTGAAAAGTGGGCCTCCAATCATGCTACCCCTGCACCTACTAAGTCCTAGTTCATTCATAATATTCTCTACATGTTCAACTTTCTCTTCCCTGGTTAAGCTATTGGGAAGCCTTAGAAGTGCAGTGAAGAGTAGAGTTTCAGTTACAGTTAAATGAGGGTATAGCACATCATCTTGGGCCACAAAACCTGTTCTTCTCTTCATGGCACCTGAAAATGGCTGATTGTTGTATGTGACCTTTCCTGAGAGTTTACCCCTAAGACGCCCTCCAAGTGCTGTTAGAAGTGTGGTTTTGCCACTCCCAGATGGCCCCAACATAGCTAGTATTTCTCCAGGGGAAACCATACCCGTGATTCCATTCAATATGGTCTTCTCTTTTGAACTCCTTGTGCTGCTCCAACAAATACCTTTCTGCTCTATTTTAACCTTGTACACCAATTCCTCAAACTGCAAGTGAAAACAGCACATATGCAAAAAATTAAAATGTAAATAATAATATACTACATGAATGAATATATGCATGTATGGTGTTGTTTTAGAATAAATGTAATGGTATATATAGTTATGTACTACTATGTAATGAACTTTTCATATTTTATGCGAAAGGGAATGACCTTCAAAGTTATGGGATACACAGCAAGTTTTGCAAAAGATTGCTGATTATTTTGTATGGGAAGGATGGTCAAGTTATGGAACCCAGTCATCTCTAGTGACCCTTCAACAGGGTGACTGTTACTGGGTTCTGCTTTGGGTGCTATGCTGTTTTCTGGCATGGATAAAGAAAGTAAGAGATTTATAGTATTTTGGTGGTGACAGCGGTGACAATTGGGATGTGAGAGAAGTTAAGAAGTCCCTTTTAACTTTGCTTCAAGTTGTGCAGTGGAGAGAGGAGCACATATCTATTTATAGCACAGGCTAAGATGTTTACTGTGTACTAAGGAACTATTTAGGACTCGCATGGTTGGTGGGAACCACCTTCGTTTTCTCTCAAAATTATTCTAACAGAACCCTTCTCCCCTATACACTGGAAATTCTGAAACATTGCTTATGATTTTGGGCTTGTTTGTGGAAAATTAAGTTTTATACCTTTTTAATGAAAAATATACGTTCTGATTAAATATTTAGTTAGTTTAATTTCTGAAAATGTTAAGCTCAATTAGGATTGAATTTAAACAACTAATAATAATAAGATTTTATTAAAAAATAATTATTACATTTTTTCTTTAATATTAATTAATTTTAAATGTTTAAACTCAATTTTAAGAGTTAAGATTAATGCAGTCTTTAATTTATATGGGAATTTATATCTTCTCATGTTATTAACTAACATGATATGCGATGACAGTAGAAAAAGAAAAACACAAATTTATTAAATAAGAACTTCCCATGATTGATTACAAGACTTGCTAATTGAATTTGATATTTTTTTTCTTCTTTCGATGTGCTCGTATCATTTTATTCAATAACTTAAAAGGATATAGATATATTATAAACATGTCTTATATCTAAATTATATCAATGATTTATTTTTTTTTAAATTAATTTTACTCAATTTTAAATTAAATTTGGACTACTCTATTATATTTACTTTCTTATTTTTCAATTTTCTTGAAAAGTTATATTTGGAAAGAATGTTTTGGAAGAAAAAGAAGGAGAAGATATATTTTTTTAATTTTAATTAAATATATTATTTATAATAACAATATATAATTAAGATATTAAATTTATATTAATATATCAATTTATATCTTTTATTTTAAAAATATTAAATTTAAATATTTTATTTAAAATATAAAATTTTTGCTCTCTTTTCCTTTTCTCCTTCTCAAACAACCCATTAACACGAGTAGCTATAACAAAACGTTTTTCTTCAGATCATGCACCTTTATTACGTCATTCCTTTCTTTAGATGAGCTTTGAACGCTAACCAATGTTGCATAAAATATGGAGAGAAATGTATTAAAATTGGCATTTGGCACGATAAACATGCTCCATTGATACAGTGAAAGAACACCATTTGAGTATTGTGCCTAGGCCGATATACAGTGAAAGAACACCATTTCAGTATTGTGCCTAGGCCTATGGAATAATCCTACATGCAAACAAAACAAACAGTAATTCTAAGAGAATGCACCAATCTTCTCTCCCAATTATAAAAGATTAGAATGCGTGGATAAACATGGATCCAATACAATACGGACACGGACATATATTCTTAAACACTTTTTACTATTCATATTTTAGTTAGGTAAAAAGAATGTTCAAACTTGGATTCGAGAGTTTTAAAGTTCAAAGGTGTTTCCACAGGGAGTGAAATGAGAAATAGTTATTTGTCTTATGATTTAAGTTTTAAAATATTGAAGTTACTTAAGTACCTTTTTTTACTCGTGGCTTCTCATTTGAGCAAGACCATTCTCGCCTGAATGAAACAACCAGACAAAAATTTCTACACATTTACTGATAATCTAGTAACACCTCAAATTTAATTTCAAAATAATACATTTCACATAATAAGAATAAGAAAATTTTCATTTAAAACGTACTTTTCTATAGAGTTTTAGCAAAGTATTTCAAAATAATAAGGGTTTACAAATTCAAATTGAATAACTGCTACAGGACTAATTTAAGTACATCACATTTTCAAAATAAATGTAAGCCTTATAGCAGTGTCATCCATTCCTTCACTGAATCAGGTGTTGATCGTCTTGATTACCTGAAAAATAAATGTAAGGATGAGTACTCTACACTATCCAACGCATGCAAATGTAAAAACTCACCTCAAACATTTCGCATAATTTCTAACACATTCTACACGAGTATAATCAATTACAAACAACACTTTCACACATTCTATTTCAAATTACAACCGGTACGCTCACTGCACCAACACATTTCACACACGTGCGCTCACTGCACGTAACCACGCTCACTATGGCATTGTAATCACAGTTTCACACCATGGATGGTCGCCAGTTACCCCCATCTCACGGATACCACGTGGACGGTCATGAGTCGCTCAGTAAAGATGTTGGTCAGAAGTCTAGTCATGAGAAGAGTGTGTGGCCTGTGATGCACCCACGCTCACTATTGCTATCACCACTACTCTCTCTTCTCCAACGTATTTCTACCGTTCCCATCTTCCACACCTCCAACATATTGCTGAACCATTCATAGCATATTCACAACCGTTTTTAACATGCCCCATTCACACACATTTCGATTACATATAATATTCATATTCACACATGGCACACAGGCCCACATTCATTCATATTACATGACATAGATACCTATACTTATTCGTGTTACATTTAACGCACAACAATTTCATACATACAACCTTTTCAACATAATCCATATTTACACTCAACATGCTATCCACACTTATTTCCAACCATTTACATTATTCATCGTCAATCAATGGCATGCTCATACACACATTCACACCATCACACCCATCACTCAATGTTCATTTCATCATATCTAACATGAAATTTCTATCAAAACATACATATTCTGAGATCCTATCTCAATTACATGGCCACACATAGCAAAATAAACGAAATCTAACAAAATGAGATAAGGTAGAGTCCCCCTTACCTCGAATCGTAGACCCAACACAATCTAACGGTAAAAAATGTTTCTCACACAAATTTCACCCCAAAACCACATGGAAAATTCTATGAGAAATTAAAGAGAATCCTTAAAACAGAGAAAAGAGACAAAAATTGCAACCTTAACCATTAAAACTCACCTCTATTCATTCCCAACATGAGTCCAACCTTCAACCTAGCTCTGAACGGCTTTGGAGGCAATTTAATCAATGAAATAGGGTTTTGGGTTAAGAGAATCGAAGAGATTTTAAAGAGCCTTGCTGCAACGACGCCCCTTGTCGCAACAGCGAAAATCTCAAAGGAAACTGCATCCTAATTTCTGTAGAATCTCGCTATAGCGAGACTGTACTTAGAAATACACCATTCACTGTCGCTCTCTCGCTGTAGTGAGACATCTTTCGCTACAACAAGAAGGCGATTGTTTCATGCCTTCCTCGCAGGGCCCTCTTGCTACAGCGAGATATCTCTCATTGTAGCAAGAACACCCCTACACTACATACTTAGCCTATATACTGACACAACTCCAGTTCAAAACACATGTCAACCATCAACAATCGTGCTCAAGCAAAAGTCCTTATCACATTTTAACCACATATTCATGCATCTTCATAACTATAGTTACATTCAAATCATTACACAATCAAATGCACACTCAATACATCAATTTATACATTTATATTAATGCATTAAAATATTATTACAAATTTATACATCAATTTATACATTTATATTAATGCATTAAAATATTATTACAAATTTATACATCAATTTATACATTTATATTAATGCATCACTTCATCCTCAGGGATTTGGTGATAATAGTGATTTTCTTTCTTTTTTATATATAGAAATGGAATACATGGTTGAAATAATGGTTTGTATGAAAATAAATAAAACCAAACAAAGTAAAGTTTATAGAAAACCTTATGCAAGAAAGATATTGGATTCAAATGCACTTGCTAACACTTTATCTTCAATGAGTAAATATGATTTTAGCTATCATACTTCCACATTCATTGAGTAACTTAACCAGATCCCTCAAAATTAAGTCCTAAGGTAGTTAATCCTAAAACATGATTCCTTTGAGTAAGAATAACATCTTGCATTAAGAACAATAACTTGAATATAAGTGGCTAACAAACCCAAGTCTATTCCTAGTACGAGAGTTTGTTAGGTGTGATGATCCATTTCATATTAAGAAAACATTTTCCAATAGAATTCCAAACCCTAGTTCATAAAATGGGTGATCAAGCCAAAATAAGCATTGAGATTAGAATCACACAAGTAATGTAACTGAATATCATATAAACTCAATAAGAAGTGGAGTTAGTAGTTACATTGAATCCAATCCAAGAGAAACTAGCCACTCATGGAGAGGGCCATAGCAAGATATAAAATGAAATTACACAAAGAAGAAGAAAAGATGAAGAAGGCTCCTTGTTCTTAAGCAATTCATTCCCCACATCTTCCTTGTGCTCTATTTTCTCTTGGATATCTCTTTCTTTCGATATCTACATCTCCCCTCATTTCTCTCTCTCCCAGATCCCCTTTTATATGTGTCTTCAAAATAAGAAAAATTTGGGAATTTTAATTCCGCTGCTGCAATTGTGAAAATCTAGATTGCTCTGATTACTTTGTTTTCTCACATCTGTAGCTACAGATTCATAGTCATGGCTGTAACTATCTGGAATCCTTGTTTTGTTACACAATTTCGTGGCTGTAGCCCTGAATTTTAGACTTCATAAAATTTTGCACAAAAAGAGAGGTATTTTAAACCAAAACACTACTATTCTTGTGACTTCTTGAATTAGATTAATTTACCTACTTTGAGGATTAACATGCCCAAAATTATTTACATTTTAACCCAAAAAGAGTACCAAATTAATGATAAAACATAAATTTTTAGCACTTAACAACTGAGCGAAATCATTCTCGCTTGAGCGAGATAAGTTCGCTTAAGCGCAACCTGTTATTTTAGAGAATTTTCAATTTGTTGCCTTTTCTCACCTGAGCGAGGGTCTCCTCGCCTGAGTGAGAGGACAATTGAGATGTTCTTATCCATTTTCACTTGAGCGAGAACTATCTTGTCTGAACAAGAATGATTCAAAGACGTCTCTTTAAGATGTTTCGATTTTGCTTGAGCGAAAAATGCTGCAATTTTCAAAAATAAAACATTTTTATTTTAAAAACAAATTGAATTAAAACTAGAGTGTTACAAAGGACACAAGTGTCTTTTTCCCTTAATGTTCTTCCCTCCCATTTTA